ATTCGGGACCGTCTAGCCGGGTATCTTGGCCCGGTGGATTTCGATCTGCCGAGGTAAGCATCACGGACGCAGGCTGGAATTTGGATGGGTGACCTAAGGTAGGCTCGGGGACGTGGCTGTGGCAGCCTACCAGACTTGGGTCGCGCAACATTTTCCGCATGCGTGTGGTCCCCGATAAATGGTAATGAGAACAGAGCAAAGAAAATCTCTGTAACTCAAGACCATGCTATCATACATAAACTGTACGAGACTTTGCCACCAAGCCACCCGTGTAGTAAATGGTGGTGGTTTTAAGAAAAGTACTCGAGTAATGAAGGAGGGTGTACAAGGGGCCTAATAAGGCCTAAGTGCTGCGGTGAAAAAACAATTCCACCACGCTCCGACATACATACATACATTATAAAAATTCATAAAAAAAAAAGTTTTTTGTAATTTCAATAATCCTAAACTCACAATAAGTTGTCAGATTTTAGCGAGTAACCCTGTACAAAACGTTCTATTAAATTCTGTAGCAAATAAAATATTTTTAAACACAAACTTTTCCTGTGACAGTGAAAAATGTTTTGTATCAAATGATTCCTCTTATCATTTCCACTATAAAACACACTGTATACATTTATTTATTTCATATTCGTCTATTTCAGACCAGTCCGAACTAATTCGTCCAATAAACTGCAAGGAACTGTTAACATTCTCGACGGTGGAATGTGACTTGGGTATGTCCGTGTTGCTTTGTGTATCTGTGCAATTGCTACAGGCGAATTGTTGCGGTTAAATGGAATGTGTCTCTATCGTGAATCGAAAATCAAGGACCGGAGTCTAATCAGATCCTGATGTACATCCAGCTTGGCGTCTTAAACGATTCTGTTGAACTGACGGCAGGATCTAAATCTTTCCGATCCTTCTCCGAATGCCGCACGTCAGGACGAGCTGGATGTAGTGACAAAATGAGATCGTATAAAATGCTGGCGTTTCCAAGGGATGGGCATATGTGGGTCAAGTACATGTTTCAAACGATTCGGCGAACTCTAAAATGCGATATTTTAGGCAACTGGCACTTTTAGGAATTTTCGTGGATATATAATCCTTTTTATATTATTTCCTTCCACCAGCTAGATATGCGAATTCCTTCGTATCTCTTTCAGAAACGGTCATACTGATTGGCAGATCTGAATCCAATTGATTTTACCAAACGTTATTAGGATCAAATTCCGATTTAAATAAAAACATTTTAGTGCAGACGTGCTTTGTTTGGGCGTTAGATGGCACTTAAGTGTCAATTTTTGAATTACTTTTCTGTCATAAATTTAAAACGACTTGAAATTTTTCGAAAATTTGTGGGACGAAAAGTCGCTTATCAAAAGTATGATAAATATCAATCCATACAAGTAGAAGGACAGTATTCCTGTAAAAGGACTAGTATTTCGAAGTGATAATATGGGCAAAATTATATAAAAAAATATTGATTATTAGGATTTAATTCGTAGTTCCAATGGTACAAGGCATATCCACAAAATAAAAGTACTGAGACTGATGCTCTGTGGTTTTTGTGTTCGACAAAGTTGGCAACACTGCATTCAAGGTCAAGATGTTGGGAGCAAAACGCGCGTTCATTCGTCTCAGTCAGTTGAGAACTGTTGTTGTAATGACGTGTTGAAATGAGTGCCGCTATTCCGAAACAAGACGGAATCAGAAAATTCATCTTTCGCCTCACAAAGTGCATTGAGGTTGAAGGCGACTAAGTCGAAAAATAGTGCTTGATGTGACTTTTCAGTATAAGCAAATTTTTCATAAATATACTGCCATTATCGATTTTTTCGAGTACTTTGTGGATATGCCTCTTAATATCTTAAATTAAAATAATTCTATTTTCCCTCTACTCTTGTAAAAATTCAAAAACAACCACTCTCATCATCTGTAACTACAAAAAACCAAAAATCTCTTACTGCAATTAGTCAGTGATAGATTCGATGTTAACAGATCTCTATTTTTTTAACTTTATTTCAAATTTCGGTATAGAATGTCAAACTCGAACTAAAATACCGTTCTTGCAGAACCTGCGTAACAATAACAGCTTGCATAGATTCATCATATCAGAAATCATATCTGCAGAGACAAAGCTATAGAAAGACACAACGAGCAACTGATCGATGTAATTGACTATTCATGTAGTGAATCATGAATCGTTGCCACAATTTTTTTTATTTCATTTTTCTTCAATAAGCAATACGATGAAATGAAATGTCAGGTAAATATTATCCATAAAAAGTTAAATCGATAAGAAAACGGCAACGAGCTATAAAAATTAAGTGTTAAGTAATCAACTTCCACGCAATCAGTCAATTCGCTCCCGGGTCGTTTAAAATACCTTTCAGAAACAAAAAAGCCGGCTATCATTTATCAACTACAAGTCGCACAAGAATATCCATTAACTTTCCAACAAAAGCCGATTATTTTGTAGTAGAAGTAGCTGTTTCGATTTTTTTTTTAGGAAAACAACTCTTTTGAACAATAACAGTATGGTTCGTTTATTTACAAAAGCAAAAGGGTCTAATTTTCTGGAAAATTAATTCATCTAAACTACCATATTCCACATTTCTATTCGTGATTTACATAAACTAAATTTATATGAGTATTGTGTTTTTTTTTAATAATGTACGGGGTGAAATATACATTCTTTTAAAAATGTAACTGTTCCGAGGTTCTTATTGACGGTATCTCTCATCGACTCCGTCACTGACTTATACCTTATACCATACGAGTAACTAAATAAGAGGGTTCTATTCTGTCTTTTGTCGGCAGCAGCGGCAGAGTACGCCATCTGTAGCTGGTGCAGCAAACGACACACTCAGAAACCACATACCATAAAATAATTAAGGAAATGCATGGGGAAACACAGTTAGAGTAATCTCTAATTCTACTATCTAATAGATGTCGCTGCACCATAAGTTAATAATTAAAAGTAAGGTGAACCATTAACAGCTGTTCCATGACCCATTACTTATGAAACATGTCAATTATCAATTGGTTGAATGAAAAAGTTAAAGCAGTGATATTTAAATGTGTGACAAATATACAAATTCGTTCTGTTATGAATTCGAAAATATTTAAGTATCAAAAAAATGTTCAGGGAGACTCTTGTAACTATTATTTTTAAAAGAAACCATTAAAAACAGCAAATAAAGAATTATTTATCTGCCTTTATGTAAAATGCATTGCACAGTTACTTGCCAAAAATTATGGTTAGATATATTTGTTTCGAACTAATTGGTTCTCATCAGTACGATCTAACATACTACACTTATAGCAAATAACAATTTTAAATATGTGCATTTTGGTTTTTTAAAAGGTGGAGGTGAAAATTCATACGAAATTGAAGTTTGGCGGCTCGTATTCTGAAAATTCTGTAATTTAACGTTAACAAATTGTTTTGTTCAGTGTTGGATACTATCCACGGATTCCGAGAATTACAATTAATAGGTGAACAAAATGGTCTTCACAAAAATAATGATCTGTGTCAGAGTAAAAGCAAAGTTTAATTTACATAATTTTCGAACAATAAATCCCTTATTACAATAATCTAAGACAAAACAAATTTATTAATGCACAAAACGCGACAACCTACCTGAACATAAACTATAACCTCAAACATTCTATTTCTGTTGATTGAAAGATTGGAAATACAAGGCTTTTTTTCGCGAGTGAAGTCGTATATTGTATTATGTGTAGTGTGAGTGAATGAGGAAATTTAAACTACCGTATGACAAAAGAGATAGAAACAGTAACTACAAGTAAGATATTCACCAATATTCAGTGGCGAAAAAAAGCCTACAGATTCGATCTGTGGTTGCAGATTTGTTTCAAAATTTCTAAAAAAGATAATGTTTTGCTGCACCAACGCGAGATGGCATCAGTGAATGCACGCTCCGTCCCCCCTACCCAATAAAATTCTCTACTTTATTTACTCATATGGCTTATACTGCATACAAATGCCGCAAATGTTTACCTTAATTTCGTTAAATTGCTAGTCGAAGTTTTATCAATCTACGTCAAACATGATATGAGATTTTTGCTTATTCGCAATATTTAAAAAAGCTATAACATCCTTTATCTCAAAAATTACGCGTTTCAGGGCATACGACACAAAAACCTTTTTCATTTTTTGGCCCAACAAATAATTTTTTTTCGTTCTATCTGTGGTGGCTTATCTTGTACAAATATTTTTTGAATTCGAAATATGTTTCTAAATTCAGCAAAATAAAAGATCTTGAATGATAAACTGATTGGCAAGGGACCTCCCACATTTTATATTACGGCTACAAGTAGGATATTGACCTATCTGATACCGTTTAGTAATTTAAAACTCGCCCTCGAAATCTTCCCAGAATATTCTATCCCTTAACATAGCCGAGAGCAACAAATTCCGAAGTAAAGGTTACTTAGGAGATCAATACTACTTTGTGTGTTGAAAACATCGCGTTGCGTGCTTTCTAGGATCAACTACATCGGCCTATAAAAAAAAAATAATAATCGCTGGATCTTGAAAACAAGGTTAAGGTAACGCTTTGTTTGTCACCAACCCTCGTTTTTGGGGTTATAAAAATATATCATTTACTTAAGCAGTTAATAATTTTTCTGCTTTTGGAACACCCTGTATAGAATCAGTATTCTAATAACTGTTTCTTGCAATCCCTGAATTATGAGCTCTAAAGGTACAACCAGAAGTGTACAACTGGACAGGGGTCATCTCTTTTTTTATAAAAAACCCTACGCCACTGCATTTTTTACCAGTTATTGTAACGGATTTATATACAAAATACGTAAAAAAGGTAACTTGAATTATTTTCTCTAAAACCAGACCGTTCCAGATCTATGTTTATAAAGCAAACACATTATTTTGAAGAGATTTATCTGCCCTCGAAGTTTCCTGCACAAAATTCGGACCACCCTGTGTAGTGTAATTGCACCTAGAATATTACTGACTACAAGTAACTCGTCGGTAACATTTTTGTACATTTTATTGTAACCCTATTTACATCGCATAAAAGTTAAAAGGAATAAAATACCTGAAGAAATAAATTTCGCGTTGGAAAATGCACCCACACCGATATTATGCAATAAAGTGTCAGCATAAAACACTGCAGCGACATCAGAATAATTCCCCAAGTCACCCCATCTCGCGGAAAATTATTTGCCACGGAACCAGTCACGTGACATATTTACAGTACCTGCCCCGACACCAAAATAAATCATCCGATACGAATATAACTTTAGATAACATCTAAACAGCACTAAGGCAAATTGGTCCATCTTTTGAAGCAAATGTAAGGCAAATATACGATCTGTACAAAAGTGTTTACTAAGGTCATTCGTCCCAAAGACACTGCTGTTTCTGCGATACGTAGTACGCAAACAAGTGGCACATCCTGCAAGTCTTTATCCCGCACCTGTAACTCATCACCGAGTTTTTGGTTTGGCCCTTGCCCTTGCAGTACTTCAGACCGCAAGGGTACCAACCTATACAGAGTTCTAAGTGGCACTCACAGGGCGTCCACATGTTCTTAATGTCCGTGCAGTTGGCCAGAACGGACTCCGAGACGTCGTTGGTCAAGAAGCTCCTGGTCGGGAACTTCTTCAGGGCCGGCTTGTACGACTCGATGGGGATGTCTGGAACAAATAGTGCTTTTAGAGGAAATCAACGTAAAATGTAGATTTTTTTTAAATATAGTGAACTAAATTAAATGTTATTTCTTAAACCTACAGTAAGTGACAAATGTTCTCTTTTATGTAACAAATGTTCAAACAAATAGTGACTCAACCGTTGCCTTCTAATAACTGCACTGTACATCAGAGTATATACCTATGAATGCATATGCATAATAGTATGAATCAAAAAGGGGCAGCTTACATGGAACTTACCATAAAATATATAGGTATGGTACGTAATAATAAGTACCAGCAAAAGTTAACAAAATTATAATTTCTGACTCAAACAAAATTATACAAAATAATTAACAGTTGTCTTAAGTCTAAATCGGTAAATACTCATTTCAAAAACGTAAATGACCGCTTAACATTTTGTTGATGTTTTTAATATTATTACTAATGGTGACGAAGCATCAATTATTTCACATTTCCATTGTACAATAACACATACACGTCTGCTTCTGATTTGAAGCTTCGCATCGATCAATTTATTCGATACGTATGTAGTGGCGCCTAATGTCTGCTTAGTCGAGTGTATGGCACGTGCTCTTATGACAGTCAGTAGCATTGTGTATTATAAACATAGAGCTACGCCTTTATCGGGCAATCCCGGGTTACGAAATGTTGACTCGGCTGCCGATTATTAATTTGTTAATAACGGTCATTTAAAAAGGCCCACACAAAATACATTCAGAGGGTTTTGACTAAGTGCAAGCAGTCATAATTCACAAAATTAATCCTCGCCGCGGCCTGCATGTTTTGAAAGCGATAAAGCAGGAATATATTTAGCAAACAGTTTGTTCATGAATTATCGACGCTTTTACTTCGCGTTCTGTGCACCGCATTTTTGTAATAGGCGCCGTATTTCACCTGTGGAGTTTAAAGTTCGGTGAAATATTGGCCTCGAGATAAGATATCTGTGTCAATATGATCAAAGAGGAATTACACAACAAAGGAGAAGTTTATTATTTCGAAGTTCGCGCCCCTCGCCGATAAGCACGCCCGCTTCATTATGATTTATTAGGCATTCTGCAAGTATCGAACACTGGTGGAAATTAAGGGCTAAAAATAGCCTGTTTAAATATACCCCAGAAGAAGTTGATTGGGGACTTATAAGTGTGCGTTTTTTAAAATTATTTTTAATACTATTGCCAATAATACTTATTTTTATTAATAACGAATTTACGTTTTTGTTGTAAGGAACTTAGACCAGTGCTTAAGCCTTCAAAAATGGTAAAAAGTGAATATTTTTTTACACTATCAGAAAGTAGAGATTTCAACGAAGAAAAAGCCCACCGACGTTTTTTAAAAAGCAGATATTCTGACGTGAGAATTTTCGATTGAAAATTAGGGTGATTTTTCGATATTAAGTAAAAATAAGGTGAAAAAATAAATATTTCAAATCAAAAAAATTACAGCGTGTTTGGGACATAAATAGGTAAGTTTTCACCAAATTTCATGAAAAAAAATTTTTTTGTAAAAGAAAAATAAAAAACCAAAAACTTGGTTATTTGAATTTTTCACATAAATATTGAGGTTATGTGAAAAAAGTGTAAATACAAAAGTTGTAGATCTTTTTATTAGCTACAACTTTGCCATTTAACTTTTTTCCATAAGGCTTGTAGTTTTTCCGGAAATCAAGGGAAACCGTTTTTTACCCTTAAAAACTCACCCCTTCCCCTTCCCGACCTCAGATCGCCCGTAAATTATTTTTCTTTTCATTTCTGTTATATTTTCTTTATTTTCCAATGGGTTTCATCCTACTATAATTTTTTTTTGGTTTCAAAAATTATCGACCCTGGTCTAACCGTACAAATTGGTATATTTAATTGAAAGAAATAAGCTAAACTACATAAAAAAAAATATGTTGATTTCTAGTAGTCTAAGACCTAGTGGTTTAACTTAGATATACACGGTTTTTACTAAAGAATGGGCCATACTTTAAGGCTAGCTTCCTTGGATAAAAATAAGGTGATTTAAATCAACTTACCTTAGTACCATCTTGCTTGGAAAATTTTGGAAAAATAGGATTTTGTGTTATAAACACGAATATCCGCTAGTTTTTTGCGATAAATATATACAGGGCGTTCTGAGCACGTTTGCCACTATATTGTTTAAACGTTATTGCTGCAAACGTATAGATTACACTACGATTACCTCAATTAATCTGTTTTGCAGATTAAGGGAAAATTGATGTTTTGGTGGTTTGAACAGTTCAGCAGGAGGATGCGGTATTGGAATTTGCTTGAAGATAACTCAACACAAGTTTCCGCCGCAAATTGTACTATTTTGTGTTTAACTATGTATTATTTCAAGCTATGATATTATAATAAACAAATTTCGCAGTTTATAATGCTGAAAATTTTGTTAAAAGCATGTTTCGACGTTCATTTATTAGATAATTTTTTTTTTGGCTGGCTAAAACAGGAAAATTCATGAAAATTTCAAATTCAATCAATTTTGATAAGGTCATTTGAAGATCAGATCATAAAAATTCGTTACAATGATAATTTTCCCAAAATCTACATTACATAAACTTTCATTTGATTCCTAGTTCATTTTTCTACCTCAACGAGAGTTGAGAATGGAGATATTTGATTTTGGCACACCTCTTCTCAAAATAGTACAGTTTGCGTCGTATATCCAGCAGTAAGAAATCAATTAAATAACGTGTTCCCCCATCGGTGGATTGGACGAACGAGTGCACATCCATGGCCTCCACGAAGTCCAGATTTGAATCCTTTGGATTTTTATTTATGGGGATATATTAAAATCTAAATTGTTATTTTTTATTTTGTTTTTAAATGTTGTTGTATCTTTCATGTTGTCATAATTTTTCTGTGTTTGGTTTCATGTTTACGTTTTCAGTTGTTATGAGAACCACATTGCTAATTGTATTAATTATTTATTATAATTTATGTACTATTTTCAAACTTATTATATACCTATTTTAAACAGGATACCTTTTTTAAAGCAAATCGAATAACTATCAATCTTTAAAAAAATCTGAAGGAAACAATGCAGTGGCAAGGGCGCTCAGAACGCCCTGTATATTTATCGCAAAAACACAAGCAGATATACGTGCTTATAACTGAAAAAAATCTGCTTTACCAAAATTTGAGTAAAATTAATCAAATAATAAATAAATTTTCGTAAAACAGTCAAATAAAAAAACTACTTTCTCAGAGCTATAATTTCTTAAGGAAGCAAGATGGTACTATCGTGAAATATAATGTAGTATGGATACTTTTAGATTCTGTGCTTGTTCTTTCTATGACTTGGCGGCAACTTAGGGATAGTAACTTTAAACTAAACAATTAAATGTTCCTATTACTCAGAAATCAAAAGGCTGACTACGTCATAATCCCTGGATATCCATGTTTGCAAGGATTAACATCGGGATTACCACAATGTTTATGATCAATAACTATCCAGCAGAGGATAATGGGAAATATACCTACACGGGAAAGGTTTTAAAAGAGATGAAAGCGTAAGTGATAAGTAAGGCTTAAGTTTTCATTACAGATACGGCTTTGGGTATAAATAAGCGTTCAGTTTAGATGGTAAGCCTGCGTTTTTTATGGTTCTGCGATTCTAATATAGCGGAGAGGCAGTATTTTTTAAGCGTCTTTTTTATAATAACTTTATATACTCATATATGGATGTGGTATGTGGGACCTATGACGCTATCGGCGATTTTTTTAAGTGGAAAGTGGTTGTTTTTATATAATTTTAAAAAGCTTACATAAAGAGGGTTAAAATGGCGAATTTCCTATACCTACGGCACTGGTGACTGAAATGTAGAATTACTAGCATGGTTTTGTAAATACTAATAATAACAAATGTGAAGTATTCATTAAGCATTTTTGAAATATTTAAAAAAATAATTGTTTTTCAAAAATTTGCAATTTCCATATCTCGAAATTTTTTATGCTGGAAAGGTACTCGTAAGTTACTGATGACTGCTTTTGTATTAAAAAGTAATATGTACAACTGGACAAATTTCAATTGAGCACTTGAGGAAATCAAAAAGAGAACGCATTTGATGCAGAATGAGATGGAAATGCAGGCCCGTAGGGGCTACGTTCTTCATTTCATTACTTTGCCACTGCGCATCCTACCTTCAGATTTCAAATTAATTTAGTTTACCCGCTTACCTGTAACAGTGCCAGCAAAAAGTTGAATTAATTTTATTAACAGTTACTACAATCGTTTTTTGCTTTATCAAACGTAGTATTGTATTATGATTCAAGTCCCTCTCTGTAATGACCTAAAGAAGACACAGATCTAGAAAAAAGAAGTAAATAAACTCAACGAAAACATTAAGGGAGCATAAAATTTCCATATATTTTTAGTGAAATAATGGTCGTATTCAGAAAAATAGCTCCTTGAAGCTTGAAGTTTGTAGTTTGGTAATCCTGAAATGAAAATGAACTAATTACACAGCCACATAAAAAAGCACTTTTTTCGTGAATTTTGGCTATTTTTGACCTGTTTTTTGAGGTTAGGAACTTCCTGTAATGTGATAGCTTAATTTTGACACCGGATTCGTGATCAGGAGGCAAACATACTACGGATAACATATGTCTCATGAAAAGTACAGACAATTTTTTTGTGTGTTCAGGAACGGAAGGTAGGTTTTAGAAACTTGAAAACTTGAACCAATCCTCTTCAAGGCCTTTTGGTATATTTGACAAAATTTTAAACATCAATTTATTAATGATAATTTTTTTGCGTTATTTTTCTCATAATTTCGCGTTAAACACTCATTGTCAAAAAAAAATCAAATTATTTCAGTATCAATTGTTTAATAATAAAAGGATTTTTTCCAATATTTTTTTTACTATTTTTCCTACGCAACCCTGCGCCAAAACTTCTTATAACAACAATACTTATTTTAAATACACTGTTTCTATTACCTATTCCCACAGCTTTCAATTGTCTTATTTCCTGTCTTTATC